AAAAGAATTTTTAAGAAAGAAGTTTTGCTCAAAAACTAAAACCTTCAGTTGGAAGACGACAGAATGGTTGAATTAATTCTGCAAATGTTAAATTATTTTTTCGACAGATACTTTCAGCATCATAACTGCATAAAACAGCAACCATGGGACAAAATGCATCTTGAATAAATTCACTAACGGATTTTTTTGTTTGAGCCATAAGAATTTCTTCGAAACAAATCAATTAATTATTTGTCCGAGTACTCTAGAAATTTATTTTTATCAAACACATATGTCTATGTCTATCTACCAACATGTAATTCTAGTCATAGGCTATTATTTTATCAAATAAAATAAAAACATGAGCCCTTCATTCGAAAAGAAGATCATATTGAGAATTTGAAGAGGGCGCTAATGTAGTAACCGTTATTCATAAATCATATTAATCTATCATACATGTATATTCTTGTCATGTGTGGCGTGTAGATTAAGAAAGTGAATGACATTTCAAATTACAGTTTTCTTTCGCATGCATAAACTCTGAGGTATATCTACATTGATCGTAATATATAGTGAGTAGAGGATAGTCAATGAAAGAAATCTTGAGAATGTATAGGTGAGAGCATAATATATCATCTACATCCATGCTTTTAAAAATATTTATGGCGAATAGTTTGCAAAAACAAAGTAATCATATGTATAAAACTTGAACTATAGGTTCCATTGTAATTAGACACTTCTACGAGTCAGCACTATAACAAGCCTAGACAGCAACAAGTCTCCCAGTATTATCTGTTGTCATTTCATCATATTCATTTATGAAAAACTGGACCATTCGTATCATAAGCACTTCTTCGTCCAAAGGAAATTTAGAAATCCATGAGACATTTCGAGATGTACTAATGATACCAAAGTATCCAAATTCACTACCACATGTGACACCATTTTATGATTTAAGGGTATGGGTGTGGATGTGGGTAAAAGCATAATATATCATCCACACCCTTAAGATAGTTTTGCTTTCCCTTGGATTAAAAAGTCAAGGAAAAGCATTATAATAAATGTGTTTACAAGACTTACATGCCGAATAGAACAAATTGGAGTGGCTATTATCTCTTGTTACACGATATGATTGTCTAAATCTTAAGAGAACTACTCAGACATAACTAATCAATATGATCATGCGATACGAATTAAATATTGTCACAGTACGCTATAGTATATATATATATGATTTAGATTGCATAATAAAGCAATGAACTAATATTCGGTCACAATTCTTTCTAATAAATTATTTACTATAAATCATAATGTACTACAATTAATAAAAAATTCTCGGTCCTTCCGACATTGCTCAATGTATTGAACAATACATGAATTATAACATTATTTGTAATTATTTTGCCAGATGAATATGAACTACTCTGTAAAACAATCAGTATATGTTCAATAGTAATCCATATGCGAAAATACTTTAAATAAAATTATTTAAAATTAATAACCAGATCCTCGTTTTGCTTTTCACTAAAATAATCTGAATATATAAGAAAACTAGACCTCCACTTGAAGCAAGTTCAAGTAGGAGAAAGGCGGCTGACTGCAGAAGTCTAACAACTCTCATAAACGCGGAAAGTTGAACCATTTAAAATTTTATTTTATTTTATTCTCAAAATCGATTAATTAAACTCAGATAAACAAGTCATCGAATAATTACTTTTCATAGAGTAGACTCTATCATGATGAATTTAAGTCACAAAAAAACGATAATTAAAATGTATATGCATATAGTATCTTATATATCAATGGTCATATAATACTGAGTCATAGATAGCCGTATAAGGAAATCACCATGTGTTAATTAATTTTTTTTTGAAATTATGTATCTCCCGCACGGAACCGAATTTCAAAAAAACGGTTTTCAGATGTGCACTCAGCACGTTCTCACGAATATGACAAGCTTTTTTCCGATTGAAAATGCTGCTCAGGTGCTAAGAACGAGTGACAGAATTGAATCGTGACTCATCTGTCGAGAAAAAGAAGAAGAAGAAGAAGAAGAAGAAGAATATCAAAAGCAATAAGTCGACTGCTGCACATACGTGCAGTCAGCCGCCTTAAAAAAAAGACAAACTATTTTTTTTCTTACATAAAGTTTATTATCGAATTCTATTAAAAAGAACTTCTAAAAAAATTGTCAACATATTCGTACATTTTATTCATTATTTTCATAGTTTGAAATTAAAAAAAATTCAAAATGACTATTATTATTATTATAAACCTGAGTATTAACTATTTTGTTCATATATAGATTCATAATTAATACACGTATATATATATAAATTCAAATGAAGATATTCAAAAGAAAAGAAAATGATTAGTTCACATAAAATTATTGTATTGTTTCACTTGTTTCAGATGTACGTTGTCTTCGAATACGTATTGTTGTTTCTTTCATAGAATGATACAGTGCATATGTATTCCAATGTAAACCATTTCTTGCTGTATTTTGTAAAGCAAGTGGTGATCGTACATACGCACCATTAAGATGTGATTGAAAACAACTCGTAAACCACCATGCTCCATGATAAGTTAAAGCACAATTATCATAAAATAAATTATCATGATCACGATCAAATGTTGAAAATGGTGCACCATTCGCATTATCCCATGGTGATGAAAGCGAATCACCAGCTGTAGATGTTAATGGTTGATATTGAGAAATTTGTAATTTATAATTTTGATTTTCATTATCTAATGAAAATTTTCCGTATTCAGCCGTACGTAGTGAACCATCCCAAGGTTTTAAATCAATATGAAGTCTAAAGAAACATAAACAATTGATATAAAAACTAACTAGACGATGTTTTCTTTATAATAGAGAACATATGTTTGACTTTTAATATAATTTTCGTAGACTTACAGATATTGTCCTTGATTTGTTAATTGATGTATTTTTTCATTTCCTAACCAAAATTCACTACGTAAATCCCCAAAACCATTTTTATAATCATCCCATCCACGATAAAAATCAATTGTACCATTTATTCGTTGTTGTATAACCGTCCATCCTATTAGAATATCATTTTATATGTAACATTTTGTTATCAATCTTATATTATTTACCTGTATTATTTTCAAAAATACATTGTACATCAAATGATTCAGATGATAATCTTGGTTTTATACGAAATATCCCTTGAGTAACAAGTGTTGGTTGTTGACGAAGTATATCATCGCAATCTATAGAGAGAAAGAGAGAGGAAAAAAAGAAACAAAGTTATTCTTTGTTTTCCAATTAACAAAACGCGTGTGGATAGATATGCTCCAGGGAATGTGATAACGAACTCATATTTCTGGTATCTATTATTACATAATATATATGTATATGTATATTGTTCAAGATAGATGATATGATAATTAAAAGTGACCTATTTGTTTGTAATAGAAAAATTAGCAATTTACCTGTTGGTGTTTCATTTTCTTCGAAATCTTTTTTAACTGAAACAAGTCTTCGAACATGTTGTACAGGTTTTTGTAATTCCGATAATAAATCATTTAAAACATTTGTTAAATTTCGTATTTTATATTCCATTTGTGATATATTTGATGCAAATGAACGTTGTTGTTTTGACATACGTACAACTAAATCATTTATTGTTGTACCATTTTGTAAAATTGGTAATGATGTATTTTTTAAATTAACTAATTCTTTTTCCAAACGATATAATTTTGATGTTTGACTATTATAATAATCAATCATTTCTTCGAGTACAACATCAGTTATTTCACCTTTTAAACTTGTCATATAAGTTAACATTGTTTTACGAACTTCTTCTTGAACTAATTCACGACGACGAAAACGTGAACGAGCTCGACGTTGTTCACTAAAAAGTGAACGTGTTGGTGGTGATGATGATGGTGATGGAGGAGGAAAACCTTCAACCATAAAAAGTATCAAACAAACCAGAATAGCTAAGTATATTGCGTGCATATTTATATCTGAAAAAGAAACTAATTTACTAGACGCTGAAAAAAAAA